GTAGGGTAGAAAATCAGCAAAATTTGCTTGCAAAGAGCCATTCGACTATAAGCATCTTGCATCTGTACTTAGCAAGACAGTAAGGGTTTCAAGGGTGGCACCTGGCTGACACAGCCCGTCTCACCTCTGGACCCTAGGTCTGTGCCCTGTGGGAGAGCTTGGGTTGGCCTACCCTATTTTTTGGACTTTATATGAGAGCTTGGGATCTTTCGAAGTCTTAAATTTGAATCTAGAAATAAGTGATAAAAAGTGAGCAAAATGGATGCACACACTCCGAAAATGAACAATACGTATAATATAATGACTTGAGTACAGAGAGTCGGATCGTACAATGTGACTTCTAATGGTCGTGGACAAAAAGTCAAAAACGATTCTTGGAGATCAATGATGCTACAAATAGAAAGATTGACTATTAGATGTTAAAAAATTAAGTAGGGGGATGGTTGGTGCAATTTCCCAGATCAGGAGTTTACGCCCGTCTTCTTCTCTAGATTTTTATGCCTTCTGTACTTGTTTCAATGGTACTTTATACTCAATTTGAAATAAGGATCCGTTTGATTGCAAATGTGAAAAATGGGTGGAAATTAAATGTTTTATAAGAAATTGATTTGACTAGAAATTATTTTATTAGGAATTGTAATTAATTGTATTTGATTGGTATAATTTTTCATGCAAAATGTTGAAAGTTTGGTGTCCGTTTGGCTTTGTTTTTTATGAAAATTGTCCATTAAAGTGATAAATTTTTCTATCATTGAGTCTAGAATTTGTTCCAATTGCTAAAAAAAATTACCATGCCGAATATCATTCATTTGGTTTTGTTTTGCATGAAAATTATCAATAAAATTGATTTTTGTTTACCATTGTATCTATAATTTTTTTCAATTATAAAAAAAAAACGCTAAAAAATATTTACCAATCAAAACATCAAGAATTTGTTTTCCTAAAAAATATGGAAAATTTGAAAAATATTGTCCCGAGGAAATTTTGCTTATCAAACACTATAAAAATTGAAAAATGGAAAAAAATATTTTCCATATAAAATATGGTGTATCAAACGGAGACTAAGTAAAAATCTTATAAAATATGACCGACTACTTGCAATGGAGCAATGATTATCCTTAACTTTACATCCATAACAAATTAACACATGTATAATATATAAATAATAGTTCTCTTTGAAAATGTTTTCAATTAATCAGATCTTATAAA